GGGGGGGAGGGGGGGCAGAGCCTGGGCTGGGGAGTAACTGGGAGGGGGGGATGGAGCCCCCAAGAGTGGGGCTGGTCCCACTCTGCACCCCAGTATTGCACCAGGTAGGGAAACTGAGGCACACAGGGCAACCACGAAGCCCTGGGGATGTGCATCCCACCCCGATGAGGGTGGGAAAGGGGACATGAAAGGGGACACAAAGGTGCTGCCCCCCCCCCCAAACATGCAGTGGGGGCACTGCTGGGTATTGCCAGAAACAGTTTTATTTTATACAAGGACGAACATCGGTAACATCTTACAAAATACTCAACTGAAAACCATATCGAGAGCGCGCGAGCGGACGGACAGAAAAGAAACCAAGGCAGGGCTTGGGGGGCGAGGACACACAGAAAGGTGGGGGAGGGATGACACCAGCCCAAAGCAAGCCGGCCTCGCTGCTGGGGGGCCAGCCCCCCTCCCCCCCCCCCCCGGGAGGGGGGTGGAGGTGTTTTCTCCCTCCTGGGATGGAGGAGGGGGTTAAGGGGGGGGATGAGGGATGTGACCCACACACAACAAAAGGGGAATGTCCCCAAGCTGCCACTGCCACCCAACAGAGCCCCCCCCACCCCGAATTGGGGTTGTCCCCAGTGCTGGTGTCCCCACAGGACGCCCCCCTTCCTCCTCCCCACCCATCGCCCCAAGCTGTGTGTCCCCCCCACCCCTGGGACTGGGTGGGGGCAGGGGTGGGGGGGTGACAAGTGACACACACCCATTCCCATCTCCGCCACCCCAATTTTGGGGACACCCCCCCCGGAGCCACCCCAAATCCCCCCCTCCCCTTGCAATAACTTAAAACACGAAGCGCTGCCCCCGTCCTCCCCCCTCCGCCCCGGGACCCACGGCCGGTGCCACCCATTAAAAAAATACTATTAAATAATACATCTGTAATAAAATTATATACCTTTCTTTTGCGTGGGTTTGTGTTTTTCTCTCTTTTAAAGCTAAAATCGCTCCAAGTCCCCTCTGGCTGGTGAAGTAACAGGAAAATGAAGTGGTTTTTTCCTCTTTTTTGTCCTTTTTTTCGTCTTTTTTTTTTTCCCTCCTCTCTTTTAGGAACGGACAAAGTTTTATCCCGACGAAGGCGCCGGGGTGCGTCACCCATTAACCCAGAGGTGACAAAAGGGATGGAGTGGGGGGGGGGCTCATCCTCTCCCTCTCGTGTCCCCCTCCGAAATAGGGATGGCAGAGGGGAAACAAAAAAAATAAAATAAAGGGAAGAAAATTTGAGAAAATCCCCCAAAATCACAGGGAAATTAAGGCATTAAAAAAAAAAACCAAACCAAACAAAACAAAACAACAACAACTGACTTAATTAAAGGCACGAATATTTCCCATCACCTCCCCCCGGGGAGGGGGATGGACGCTGGAGCTGGGGAGGGAACAAGTGGGAAAAAGAAAAAAAAAAATTAAAAAAAGGGAAAAAAACCAAGGAAAACCCTCTCAAAAGGGGGGCCCGGGGGCAGCAATGGGGACAGACGGAGGGAGGGATGGACGGAAGGGAGGGCGGGAGGAGCGGGGGGTGCTGGTGGAACCAATGCTTCACAAGAGACACGACCGCAAACACCGCGTGGAGCTGGGGTCCAACAGGACTGGGGGGGTTGGGGGGGTATTTTTTTGTGTTTTTCTCCTCTTTTTAATAGAAAAAGAAAATATTTTCCTCTTTTTTTCTGTTTTTCCTCCCGGTTTCTTCCTTCTTTTTTTTTGTCTTTTTTTTTTTTTAATAATTTTTATGTGGTTTTTTTGTTTGTTTTTTTTTCTTTTCTAATGTGATTTTGTGTGTGTGTGTGTGTGTGTGTTTTTCTCTTCTCAGTGTTTCTTTCTTTTTTTTGGAAACGGAATAAATCTGGGCAAGGGGCCCAGCGGGTCACAGCGCGGGCTCGGCCTCCATCGGCTCCTCCGCCGGCCTGGCAGAGAGGGGATGAGAGGGGACAAGAGGGGACAAAGTGGGGACATGAGCGGGGGACGGACCCCACGACGCCAGGAGCTCAGCATCGGGGACAGGTACCTCCATCCCACCCCTTTCCCCCCCCAAAAAAAAGTCATGGCACTGTCACCCCTCCCAGCTCCCCGTCATCCTCAGGGTGGGACATGGCAATTTGGGGACACACGTGTCCATCGCTCCTGCCAAGGACACGTATGGCTCCATGCACAGACCAGGAGACATGAAACCCCCCCAAGGACATGTGTAGCTCCATGCACACCTCCAGGGGATATGTGACCCCCCAAGGACACGTGTGGCTCCATGCACAGCCCCTAGGGACATGCAACCCCCCAAGGACACGCCTGGCTCCATGCACACCTCCAGGGACACACATGGCTCCATGTGTGCCCAAGGGACACACATGGCCCCCAAGGACACCCATGGCTTTGTGCACAGCCCCTGGAGACACACATCCCCCTGAGGACACTCGTGGCTCCATGCACACCTCCAGGGGACACATGTTCCTCCTGAGGACACGCATGACTCCATGCACAGCCCCAGGGACGCGCATGCTCTCAAGGACATGCATAGCTCCATGCACACCCCCAGGGCCACACATGGCTCCGGGCACAGTCCTAGGGGACACAACTACCCCTTGAGGACACACGTGGCTCCATGAACACCCCTAGGGACACGCATCCCCCCCCAAGGACACGCATGGCTCCACGCACAGCCCAGGGGACACACATCACCCCAAGGACACCTGGCTCCACACACCGCTCAGGGGACACACATCCTCCCTCGAGGACACATGTGTCCCCATTCACACCTCCAGGGACACACATCTCCCCCTGAGGACACACATGACTCCACGCAGAGCCCAGGGGACACGCATGTTACTGACAACATGCATGGTTCCATGCACAGCCCTGGGAACACATATGCTCCCGAGGACATACGTGTATCCACGCACAGCGGGGGCTCCTGGGGTGAGTACCTGGGCTGGGGGTCGGTGTTCCCCTGCTCGGCGCCCACTGAGAGCAGGGCCATGGCCGTCACCGTCTCAGCCTCCTCTGCCTCCCCCTTCTGCGCCTCCAGCAGGGAGCAGCCCACGGCAGCCGCGAAGCGCTTCACCGAGCCCCAGTGCTTGCCTGCGGGCACCCCCAGCGCTGGGCACGGCCCCCGAGACCCCCGCAGCGGGGGGACCCATGGGATCACCATGGTGGGGACAGCCCAAGGGACCCCCCCTGTGCCACCCACAGCTGGGACAGCCCTGGGAACCTCCCCTGCGACCCCCATGGAGGGAACAGCCCTAGGGAACCCCCAAGACCCCCCCCATGGCAGGGACAACCTGGGGACATGTGGGAACCCTGTGGCAGGGACAGTCCAAGGGACTCCCCGTGCCACCCACAGCTGGGACAGTCCTGGGAACCTCCCCTGCGACCCCCATGGAGGGGACAGTCCTGGGGTCCCCCCATGGCAGGGACAGACCAGGGAATCCCTATGGGACCCCCACATCAGGGACAGACCTAGGGACACCTCCAGGTCCCCCCCCCCAAGGCAGGGGACATCCCCGAGGAC